ACGAGTGACTGTTGTGAGGGCCTCCCGGTTCAGGTAGGGACGCAACTGGTGCACCAGGCGGACCTGGGCAAATGCCCCAGGTGGATTTCGTGGGAGGAAGATGAAGGACTCTTCTGAAGGATGTAAAGGGGGGACTGCAGACCAGCTGTGTGTTTCAACTATGATGCCTATTTTATATATTTTTCTTGTTAATTAGTTGATGTTTTTGAATATTTTTATTCTAATTAGTGTACTTAAAGTCTGATTATCAATAACGACAAAATATTGTAGTTGCTTTGTACTTCAGCCTCTTAGCAGCAATTTTTAAAAATAGGTTTTTAAAACCATTGCCATCAGGACTTGCTCCCCAAATGGCCTTGATGGAAATGAGGGCTCCTGATGATCCCCCCTCCCCAGAAGGAAATCCAAGGAGAAAATGGCTTGACAACCTTTGGACAGCAGCGAATCTGTCTTTGGGATTCTTGCCCAGAGCAGAGGTGGGATTCACTAGCCCACCTCCAACAGCCCAGGGTGACTGAATGATGGGTGTTTTATACTGCCGAATAATATTACGGAGCTGTTAGCACATGTTAAATTAGAAGCAGGCTACAATGTATTAAAATAATTGGGTCTAAACAGGCAGACAATAGGAAGAATGGCACTGCCTGCCCACAAGAAGCTACAAAAGTTCACAGAAACTTCAGCAATTTCCCTGTCCTTTCTGTGGACACCTGGAACTTTGTCCCTGTTTTTACTCACCTATATCCAATAATGGTAAATAGCCAATCAGACCCATCCTAGGCTGCATTCAGCACAATTCACTGCCTCTGGAGGGGGGCACAATATTTTCAGGAATTTTACCTTTATCTTCATTCAGCCAGGCTTCCGCACTGGAAACCAACCTTCATACATTTTCTCATCCATACGTACATTTCTGCAGAAGGTGGCTAACCACATTGTATAGCACCAATGAACTTTCCATTCCTTTTAATTGGAGCTTACAAAATGTTTAGCTTCTAAGAATAAAAATAAGAAATCAAAATAAAATGAAGCTGTGATATTGCCACATGGCCACAAAGGCGGTGACTAATTTCTAAGCTAAGTGGGAAATCTTGTGATGGCAAAAAGCTTCTGAGCCACTCCACCATTTGACAGCCGTGTGGGACAGCAGCCACCGTGACGTGGTTTGATTTCCGCTTTCCTCCTTAACTACCTGTGGAAGCTCCTGCCTGGTGACCATGGGACCAAGGGATCCTCCAGTGGTGGGAGAACTGGGTTTTACATCATTGTGACTTTGAACAGTTGCTAAACAAGGCAGTCAGTCAGCAAGGACTATACGTATATATGAATTATCATAAAGTTTTCAGTAATGGGCAATAAATGTCAAAGAAAATGGTTTAAATTATGATAAAGGTTTGTAAACAAAGGAAACAACAGAACAGAATAGAATAACAGAGTCGGAAGGGACCTTGGAGGTCTTCTAGTCCAACTCCCTGCTCAAGTAGGACACCCAAGACCCTGGATGGTGAACCTATGGCACGCGTTCCACAAGTGGCACGCAGAGCCATTTGTCAGGGCACGCAAGGTGCTGCCCTGTCAGCTGGCCAGCGCGCATATGCACACTGGCCAGCTGAGTTCACCCTTTTTTTTAAGCCATTTTTTGCCCTCCCCAGGCTCCAGAGGCTTTATAGGAGCCTATGAAGGGCAAAAAGAGCCTCCCCCCCCTCCCGGAGGCCCTCCGGAGGCTTCATGAGCTTCCCTGAAACCTCTGGAGTGCAAAAAAACGGCCCTAAGGGCAAACCAAAAGTTTGGGAACGGACTTCCGGTTTGCTCGGAGGGTCGTTTTGAGCGCTCCGAAGGCTTCAGGCGAAAAATGCATGCAAAAAAAAGGGGGGAGTGCCTGTAGTATGCACATACGCACTGGGGGGTGTCACACATTGCATTATGGGTGCAGCACAGCTGCACATGACCCCCCCTGCACTCCCCCCACTTATGGCACGCGAGCCAAAAAAGGTTTGCCATTGCTGCCCTAGACCATTCTGTACAAATGGCTGCACAGTTGTAGAGCACCCACAACTTCCAGAGCCAAGCTGATTGTGGATTGCTCACACTGTCATGAAATTTCTCCTTAGTTCTAGGTTGCTTCACTCTTTGGTTAGTTTCCATCTTTTGCTACTTGTCCTGCCTTCAGAGGCTTTGGAGAATAGGTTGACACCCCCCCTCCCCTCTTCTTTGTGGCAGCTCCTCAAATATTGGAAGACTGCAATCCTGTTGCTCCTGGTCCTCCTCTTCACTAGACATATCCACTTCCTGCAACCGTTCTTCATGTGCTTTAGTCTCCAACCCCCTAATTGTTGCTCTTCACTGCACAGTATTCTTTCCGACATAGTTAAATATATTTGACTTAAAATTCTCTCCCAGCCTTCTACTTGTTAGCTGAGAGCTGAAGGATAGTTTTTATTGCTGCTGCAATACTTTCTGCAACAGAACCTAGGCCCATAATCTTACATACCAGGATTTTTTAATTATTTTTAATTACACAATTTTCTTTGTTATTTATAAAGTTTCCATATCCACAATGGCAGTGTACCGACTGGTTATAATCTATTTTAAATACAAATAATAACTCTTATACATAAAGTAGCTATCATTATTATTCTCAAAATCTATTCATCATATTCTTCACATATGCTCATTAAACATTTTCCATTGTTTAATTAAATGCTCTATTCAGTTTTATCTATAATTAGTTAATAATATCAAGCATTATAAACATTGTATAACCATCACTTTTGTAATTATCATCCAAGTCTATTCATCATGTTTACTTATTGAATATTCATTATTTAATTGCAGATTTACTTCATTTTTATTTACATATCCTCCTTTATTCTGAATTTCTAACTTCTGCTTCTATTTTCTAACCATTGATAAAATATTTCAAAAGCTAAAAAATATTCTGTTTCCTCCTTATCCTTAATTTTCAATGTTAATCTATTCATTTCAGCACATTCTAGTATTTTCTTTATTACATTTTCATCTATAAGTATATTTTCATTTTTCCAGTTTTGTGCTTATACAATTCTCGCTGCTGTTACCACATGTAAAATTATATATATAATTTTATTATATTTTAATAATAATTATTATATATATAAATTATAATTATATTTCTCTGGTAGGATACCCAACAAGAACATCTCTGGTTTTAGTTCTATTTGTTGTTTTATCAACAAGAACATCTCTGGTTTTAGTTCTATTTGTTGTTTTATCATTTCTTCTAGCCACATTTTTATTTTTAACCAATTTTTTTTTTGCCATAGGACAAGTCCACCACATTTGATAGTAAGAACCCAGTATTTGTTTGCATTTCCAGCATGTGGGAGATATATTTTGGGACATCTTTGCCATTCTTGCTGGTGGCATATCTCACCCATAAAACATTTTGTAGATATTTTCTTTGTAGGCTATTGACACCATCAATTTATAGTTTCTCTCCCAGAGTTTTTGCCATTTATCTAATTCTATAGTGTATCCAAAAAATTTGGACCATACTATCATAGTTTCTTTTACTTGTTCTTCCTTTTTAAAATTCAATAGGTAGCTATGCATTTTTTATTAGTTTATCATTTGTCCCTAAAAATATATATCATCTAATTCTGAAGGTTCTTTGTAAAATCCATACATTTCTGCCTCTTTCTTGTATCTTGATTGTATTTGCATAAGTGACCACCAGGACAAATCAAGTCCTTGATTTTTCAGTTCTTGTTTTGATTTCAATTCCCCTTGTTCATTTAGGATATCTTTATATGTTGTAATTTGGATGTATTAGTGCTTCCATCTTGGATAGCCAGACCGATATTTTTATGTAATGTTTCTCTTTGATTCTTTCCCATACTACAAGCAGAGCATTTCTAATATAATGTCTTTGAAAATATTTGTGTATTTTATTTTTCCCATACTACATAAATGCAGACATACTTTCACTAACCCTCTCCTATTGATTATGTTAGGGTGGCCGGGTTCACATAGGATGAAAGAGGGTCAAACAAACTACATTGGCATGATTAATGAGATTTGTCAGTGAAAGTTCATTCGTGTTAATGAAGTGCCAAAAAGCAAAACAATGCTCAGTGTCTCAACATATGTATTTATTTCTTGGTAGAATTACCCTCCTGAGATTATGCAGATGATACTGGATAAGTATTTGGAAGCCACTGAAGACCCTGTAGAGTTACGCAGTCGGTTTCAAAAAATTATGGAAGATGCCATCTTTGTCATACCTTCTCTTCAAGCAGCAAGATACCACAGAGGCAAGTTCATGTACAAAGCCATAGGTTTTCCCTAGAATAGAAATAGAGCAAAGGTGAATTTAATGTCAAGAAAGGGTTTGTATGAAGCCCCATTGGGCCCAATACTATATTTTTTGACCCGATATTGGAAAACTAAGCAAAGGTCAGTTCTTGTTCTGCTAGTTATAAAATCAACCTCTTCATCTGTGAAGATATTTTGGTCTCCAGTCAGCCCCAAAGTGCTCAGGTATACTTTGCTGATTACATTCAACAAACTAATGGAATAATAGTTTCCCAAGTTATTCATGGAGTCTTTTTTATAATTAGGCATAATAATTGACAAAAGCCTAGCTTGTTGGAATTACCAGAGGAATCAGCTATGGTCACAACGAGGGCTGCAAGAATTGGTGTCCACCAAACAAGATATTTTGGAAGGGTGGAGACCACTCTGGCTGTTTTAGGGTTTTAGCTGTACCAATTAGGTCCCCCTCCCCCCCCGGATGGTAACTGGTAACCAGGAGACTCAAGTCAGAATTTCTATCTGCTTTTTCTGGCAAAAATAACTTAAAAATACAATTCCCAACTAACTTGAAGTTTACAAAAAATAGATTGTTGTCATTTTAGTGATTTTAGCCATTTTATAAGAAGCATTCTGCCATTTCAGCCAAAACCAGTCAAACCAGAGATTAGACGCCATTTGGACCATGACCCTCTTCAGGTGTGAACTTTTGGTAGTACCTTATTTCCCCCCAAATAAGGCCAAGCCTGATTTTTGGGGAGAGCCTAAATATATGCCCTCCCCCCAAAATAAGCCCTAGTGAAGGGGTGAGCATGGCCAGCACAGGAGGCAGCTCTTCCTTTCCCCAGTCAGCTAATGGCAGCTGGGCCCCTTAATTGCAACTCACAAATCAGCTGAGCTGATTGGGAGCTGCCTCTCGTTCTATCTCTCCCCAGCATTCTTGGCACAAGCCCATCTCCCATCCATCCATCCATCCCCCTCGCCTGCAAACTCCCGCCCTGCTCGCAAGAGAGCAGCCATCTGGCACTTTTTGCTACGTGGTGCCCACCCAGCAGACACCCCCCCTTCCAGCTGGGCAGAACACCACTCACCGAGGGGTATCCCTGGGCAGCCTTCACACTCACAGCCGGGAGTCTGGCAGAGAGAAGCTGCCTCTGTGTGCCGCCATCAAGCCCCGCTCCTCCCACGGGAGGTGGGGGTGGAACACGAGTGGCCTGAAGGTACCAAGCTGTGCAAGCGCCTGTCTCCCTCTGCGCTTGCACACCTCCCAGGCCTTACCACATTGATGTGGGCAAAGCCCGTGAGCACCAGGTCCTTGAGGAGCTTGTAGCCGATGCATACATGGCCTGGGCCAGCTCCCCTGCAGAGCCAGGGCCGCTGCCATCCCAGCAGTAAGGATGGCTTCCTCTGCGGCTTCCAAACAGAGTGGAGAACAGGCCAGTTGGGCAGCCACCTGCTGCCGAGTCTTCTTGGAGCCGGGGCAGAGAGGTGGCGAGGGAGCTGCAGCTCCGCATGGAGTTGGAACCATAGATTGGGAAGCACATTCCCAGAGTGGCTACTGCCAGAATACTCTCTGCCCTGGCTCCCAGAAGACTCAGCAGCAGGCAGCTCAGGGGTGCACCTTGTCCGTGTGTCCGGCTCTTTGGGAGCCTGCTTGCAAGAGAGCAGCAGCCCGACTGGCCTCTTCTCCGCTTCCAGTGGCTTCCAGCTAGGATTTGGAAGCCACAGAGGAAGCCATCCTCAGTGTTGGAGGGGGGAGGGGAGGCCCTGACCCTGCAGGGGGAGCTGGCCCAGGCTGTGGCTTCTGCATGGGTGCCAGTTTCTAGATACAGCTCGATCAGTTAGTGGCATTCTGCCTGGCTGGAGGGTAGTGGTTGTCCGCTGGGTGGGCACCACATGGCAAGAGGTGCCGGGCAGCTGCTCTCTTGCAAGCAGGCTCCCAAAGAGCCGGGCACAGGGACAAGGTGCACCCCTGAGCAAACTGGCAGTAGTCTCTGCCAGAACCCACCCCTGCTTGTCTCCCACTGAACACATGTCCCACGATTCCTGATCTACACGGCCATAATGTGTCAGAGTATAAATGTTCATAGACTGGAATAGACATGGCAACAGGTCAGCCAATGGGGATGTTTGGAAACTGAAGCATAGTAATTTTTTATATGCGGCCATAAGAGAGAGCTTGGATTCTGGGCATCGCTTAGCTGTATATAAAAGTTGGTTTAGCCTCTGTAACTTTGCAGCTTTTGTACAATATATGCCCTCTGTATCTCTCCACTCTGTAATGACTTGCTTCTATGAATATTGCTTCTGTGTTCTTGATTTTGTATGTTGAATTCTGCTGCATGGTATTGTATATAAAGAAATGTCTTATGTAATTGAATCCTGCAGAAGATCATTTACTTGTGTGCTGGTCAGATGTGTTGCAAAAACACTGACATGATGCTTTCTCTGTTTCTCCTATGTTTGGTAGATTCTGCTGCTCCGGTCTACTTTTATGAGTTCCAGCATCGTCCCACAGCATTCAAAGATACAAAGCCAGATTTTGTAAAGGCAGACCATGGCGACGAACTCGGCTTTGTATTTGGAGGGCCATTCTTGAGAAGCAAGTCATTCACAGGTAGTAAGCCTAAAACGACTGAATGGAAAACTTACCCAGAAATCCTGTCCAGACCAGGAAATCTACCAGGGGTTTGCAGATCAGCTTTAGTTTGATTCTATTTAGATCAGTGATTCAGTGTTTAACTGCAGCTTGTTAATAAGCCATTTAACCCCAGATGTTTGTTGCTGGCATGCTTAAAAAAGCACTAGGAGAACCCTGTGTTGATTTTGCAAAATTCTGTCTTAACTGTTCAAGTGGCTCAAATTATCTTCAATTATCAATTATCTTCAGTCACAAACTGAGGACATATTGGTGGACCCTGCACGGCAAGGCTGTCAGCCCCCCAAATAATATCCCATCGGATGATCAGGCCAAGTGCCACACCCCATCCTGCCGAGCAGTTCCTAACGCAGGTGGCTTCTCAGTGTCCCCAGAATCTGACATCTAAAATCTCAGGTTCACTTTCTGGGAAATCAGCTTAGCTGTCATTGCAGAGAGATGGGAATTTCTAGTAAACTTTCTCCATGAATAGGTGGAAATCCTTTTAAACCCTTTAAATTCTAATTAGATTATGAATGGGTGTAAGTATTTTCTCTTGTGTGCTCTACATAGGTGAAGCTACGGAGGATGAGAAACAGCTTAGCAGAACAATCATGAAATACTGGAGCAACTTTGCCCGTAACGGGTGAGAGTTTGGCAATTTTGAAGCACTGAATTTGGATGGTTGTGTTATGTGGTGGGAGTATGCTAAAGGCAAACTGAATTCTTGGCTCTGCTATTTCCAGGGATCCTAATGGCGAAGGCCTGGTGGAATGGCCGTCTTATGGTCTGCAGGAAGAATATCTCGAACTAAACTTGGAACAAAGGAAATCGGAGAAACTGAGAAACAGCTATGTGGACTTTTGGTTAAAGGCCCTCCCTGAAAAACTGAAAACAATAATGGAAGAAGAGAAAACACACCCAGAGCTGTAAAATGCTGCATTTTTATGTCTCTTATCTCTTGCAGCAAGACTGGATAGTAAAATCTATTAAACAAACCTTGTTCACAGAGTCCATATGAGTGTAATTTGTAATAATTTGATACATTTCTTAAGTAATATTTGAGGCTAATGGCATTCAGTTGCTGAGGAATATTAATAAACTCACTAAACCACCGTTGTGTGTGCGAGTAAAGAGGGCAGCTGGATTTGGGAGAGGCCCCTGGTTTCCACTCCCCATAAAGGTACACCAGGCCCACTCAAGCTGCAAAACCCCAGAAATGTAATTTGGGCAAAGCCCCGGGGTGCCGACAGGCAGGCCAGAAAAGGGGGTTCAATAAACTTTTGGCCGGATTGCACCAGCCACAATAGCGCAAATTCCCTTTCTCTCCTGCCAGAACAAACTATTTCCCATGAAGAGCCAGGCCTGCGGGATCCATCACCAACTGAGCAACTGGGTTCGGCTCCTTCTTGGAGGCTTCAGCTGCAGAAGCAAATGGGGAGAGCAGAGAACCCCTCCCCTCCCCCACAAGCCACACCCATTTTGCCCAAAGCACCAATGTTCTTGATTGAAACGGGGGTGGGGTGGGGGGGGATGGGAGGTTATGAATGAATGAATCCAAATAAATTCCAAATCTCTGGAGGGAAAAAGTATGCATTTCTAGTCAAGGTTTTCTTCCTCTCACCCCCCCCCCCTTTGTTTTGCAAGATTCAATTTCAGGTACAAAAAGCAAAAGCAGCGTCACTTGAGGGAACTTTCCCCCCACTAAAATTGCTCGGTGCTTTTCACATGTTGACTTGCAAACACCCCTTCCTTCCCATATTTGATGTCACAAAAATTACAATCAAATACATTCACTTTATTCCATCCTTGGTCCACACAGAGAAATTGAGCTCCTTGGCTAAATGGAGAGACGTCCTCCTCAGCGGCTGAAGTCCATGGGAACTCTGGGTTTTTTTGGGGGGGGGGGGCAACAGGTGAAAGCCAACAGCCCTCCTCCCAACAGCCACCGGAAGCCAGAGAGCTGACCAGGAAAACAAGAGGAGGGTCATGTTTTGTCAACGCTGAGGCATCCCCCAAACTGGGGCTCCAGTTGGGCTACTTGGAGGTCCACATGGGACTGCCTAGATCCAGAGAAGTACACAGGTGGATCACTTCCTGAGATCCATGGAGATGGCATTGGCCGTCGTCTGTCCAAAGATGAAAGCGCCAAGGACAACCATGAACATCCCATAGCCGACCACCATCCACCAGCTGAGGGAGGAGACAAAAACACAGTTCAGGCCAGCGAGGAGGAGAAGAGCAGGGAGGGGGTGGTGGGTCAAGGCCAAGCGCCTCTCTTACCTCACTCCTCCAGCTCCCTGAACCTCGGAAAGCTTGGTGTGGATGAGGCAGAGGCCTGGCAAGGGAAAAACAGACCAGCAGAATTTGGCAGCCTATCAACAGCCTCACAGAAGCCCCCGAGATCGAGTCCCCTCCGTCCCCACGAGAACGAGTTGAGAGGAAGCACTTTTCCCTTTGGGCTCCATGGGGGAGTCTCTAAGCCAGGCAGGCGTCCCCTCCCTCCAAGGGTCAGCCCTGGGCAGGACGCAGCCCTCAGGGAGCCAGACGGGGATTCCCATCCTCTCCCTGGAGAGGCAGAAAACACCCTGCCCGTCCTTTGCCAGGCTCTCCCTCCCCTCTCTGGCCTCGTCTCCTGCCCCAGGCAGAAGCTGAGGTGGCTCTTCAGGGGCGGCCGTGGCTGCCTTCCTCGCCAATCCTGTCCCCAAAGCCGGAGCTGAGTTGAACTGGCTGCGGCCTGGACCAGCAGCCCATCCAAGCCCCGAAAGGGAGAAGACGGCCACCCCGCAGCCAAGAACCCCAAGAGGAGCCACCTTCCTCCCGCCAGCCCGAAAACCTTTTCCCTACCTGGGAAGACAAAGATGAAGCAGGCGGCCAGCCCCCCGATGACCGAGATGACTCTGCCGATGTCCGGAATGAACAAGGCCAGCAGGAGGGTGAGGAGGAACCAGCAGAAGGTCTGCAAGAGGCGTCGGCGTCTCTCCCGAGTCACGTCTTCCTCCATGCTTTCCCCTTTGTAGCGCAACCAGAGACCTTCCAGGACGGTTCTAGGAGGGAGACCTCGGGAGGGTCAGCAGGAGCCCCTCCCCACATTCACCCCGCCGGCCGGCCAGCCTGCTCACCTGCCGCAGAAGTGTAAGATGGGGTAGGAGGTCAGGACAGAGAGGATGATGAAGGCCCGGGCGAAGGCCACTGGGATGTCGTCTGAGGGGTAGGAGAGCAGCACATCCTGCTGCACATTCTCACCGAAGGTCAGGAAGCCACAGACGCCTAGCAGAGGCAGAGGGAGGCTGTGGCCACACCAGGCCCGGCTTTTGCCGGGGGTGAAGCAGAAGCAACTGGGCAGAGCGAGCAGCTGGGTTTGAGGATCCGCTCCCTACCTGTGCCCATGTAGACAAACAGGGCGATGACCATGGCTGCTGTCACGACGACTCCCCAGGACCTTACCTGCGGGCACTTCATGCTGTTGAAGATGGGCACGCTGCTGACGTGGCACTGCAAAGGGGAGAGAGAGGCTCAGTGTGTGTGGATGGGTGTGTGTGTGTGTGCAGCAAAGCTGGGGCAAGAGGGGCCAGGCCGCCATCCCCAACAGAAGGCGGCAGTCTGCTACCCCAGGTCCCCACGTCCTTCGTCCACTCAGGCAGGCATATGGTCACCGTAGACGGACATCCATTTCAGGAGTCCTGCTTTGGAAACATCTAAACTCCCAACTAGGAATCCAAGATTCCCGGGACAACATCCTCCTTAAGCAAATGATGGGGAGTTACTGCCTGCATTTCATTCCAGTAGCTGAGAATAATTTTAACTGCCACCACTTTTTTGAACTCAGCCTGGCAGAGATTCCTTGCCAGTGAATCTCCTTAAAACCTCCACATTTCATCGCAGCCTTTTCCACAGTGGCTGGAGAACTTTCTCAGGGGGAAACTCAATGCTGGGGCTTGGGCTCTCCTTCCTCCCCTTCTGCCAAGTGAAGCCTTAGAGGCCCAAAGCTCCTCCCTGACTTTTAGCCAAGCTCAGGCTTGGGGGGCATAACCTGCCCCCACTTGAGCTCCACAGGGGAACGCAGGCACCGAGGCCAGAGGGGGCTTCTCAAGGGAGGCTCTGCTGCTCCCTGACATGGGCTGGGCTGAGGGGCAGGCGCATCTAGAGGAGTGCCAGGATCAAGCCTGACATGTCAGAGGCTTGCCCCCCAGCTGCAGAACTGGAGTCTGGATCACGGGATTCCTGCCCACTTGGTATGTGCTGTCTCTGGGTGCATCTTTGCCAAGATCCTAATATGGAGCAGGTCCTTTCCCTCCCCTGCCAGGTGAAGAAGCAACCTGGAAGAAGGAATCTGAAGGTGGGGACGACCCTTGAGGCCTCCCCTTCAAGTGCTGGATCCCTCCTGAGTTGCCCCCCAGGCAGAAACCTCCCCCAGCACCATTTGACTTGCTGCACAATGCCCAGCAAGGCGGCAATCATCTGAATTGCTCCGAGGCTGGCACAGCTCATTTGCCCGCATGCTGTCTATGTCTATGACCATCCGACCCACCTGGCTTCCTTTGCAGGGCACTGGACACTGTAAGGAGAGGTACCTGGACTCTCCAGGACAACTGTACAATGAGAGACAGTTTTTTGAGATGTAAGCCAATCAGCGGTCCTGGGGGGGGGGGGAGAGGCTTGTGGGGGGGGGACATAAACACCCCCCATCAAAAGTCCATCCTCTCATCGCTCAGGATGGGCAGACTGTGCTGGGTGTAGCCAGGAGTTTGAGAAGCTGCCATTGGATGGAGCACGTGGCCACTTACAAGCCCTTTTTTTCAGGAGAGAAGCTATTCTCTGCCACACGTGGGCTTTTCCCCCAGGCTGCCACTCTGGATCCTCCCTTCCTTCCCAGAGGAAACTCATGTAAGGGCAGGTCACCCTGCATCCCCTCAGGCTCTCCAACTGCCCTTTCGTTTCAGACACAACCACATCGGTTCTCATCAGCCAGCTTCCCTGAATCACTGCTCAGGAAGTGGTCAGCTCACGTGGTCAGCCCACAACCCAAGAAGCCATAAAACACCCTTCACTGGCAGAAGTCTCTCCCTAAGAATGGCGATTCCCTCCTTGGCGTTTCCTCTCCGTGCTCAACTAGGAACTTTTTCTGGCACAAAATGGCCCTTTGACTCCTCCCGTCACTCACTTCTGGCCCTTTGGAAAACCACTGATCCAAAAACCTTCGAAAGTGGTGGCGTAGCTATAAAAAGCACTCGTTCAACTCTTATACCCAGCGTGTCACACCACTAGTTTGCGGTCTTAGGAAAGAAGAAAATCCAGTCAAATTTGGAGGACGACTGAAAAGTCGCTCCCGGATCCCATTTCAGACAACCTCTGCTGGATACACAGGAAAGATGCAGAGGAGCTAAAAGATGCCTCAAGGCCCTGAGCAGAAGACACCCCTTCCCCCACAACAAGAAGGGAGGGATTCCTTCAAACCACCAGCAAGAGCTGGGGGGGGTGGGCTGAAAGGGCCCCATAGCATCTAGAGCAGGGGTGTCCAAACTTGGGAACTTTAAGACTTGTGGACGTCAACTCCCAGAATTCCCCAGCCAGTCTTAAAGTTCCCAAGTTTGGATACCCCTGCTCTAGAGCTTTCAAGGACGGAAAATGTCCAACTGCTCCCTTAGCAAAGCCTCTCTTGGCAAATCACAGGGCAGAGAGCAGAGCTGCACGAACATTACCTGGAAACCGAAGCATATGGTGGGCATGGCGTTGAAGACAGACACCCAGGAAGAAGGGCTGCGGGGAGGAAGAGGAGTTACATTAGCTACGGCTGGATCATTCCTCCCCCCACAAGCGCCTCATCAGAATGGCGTGCAGAAGACGTCCCAGCCAAGCCCCCCCAGCCCCAACTGCGGTTCTCCTCTGCTCCTACAGGGATGAAACAACGCTGGGCCACAGGAGACCCCCTTTCCAGGTGGCTGCTCCCCTCCCCTGGCAGAATAGCAGCTGCAGCTCGAGGAAGAGGTGAGCCAGTTACTGCTGCTAACCGAGCGGGGGAGGGGGTTACCTGGCCAACCCCAACGATGCACAATAATTGACACTGTCATGTAAAAGACGGCCAGATGTGCAGTACAGAAAATGGGGGAGTGGGGAGGTCAGGCCTTTATTTTCTATGCCAGTCCGTAGCAGTCTCTGCCTCTCTGGGCACAGCCAGCGTTCACGTACCTAGTTGTGATTGCCTCTGGGGAGATCCCTTGATCAGGCCAAAAATACTTTACAATGACGACAATTGTGACGTACCAGGTCCCGATCACACTCAGGCAGCTGAAAGAGAGCAAAATGTAGGGATGTGGTGATCAACAAGAAACATTTCATATATACTTTATTTCAATACCAACATTTTCAAAAATGTATATTACAAACAGAAACAGGAGGTCCTACTGATTGAAAGAAAGCTTGGGATGGGGATCTTGGTAATCCCACGCAGGAGATCAATTGGTAAAGGTTATGAAAATTGGGTTGATTGACTTCAACTTCAATGGAATAAGTTTATACATCATTGGCACCCAATTCCTGCTAGATTGGCATAAATCGAAAATGAAACGCACAGGTACAGTATAGGTGGTACCTTGCTCAAGAGTAGTAACTGTGAAAGGGATCTTGGAGTCCTAGTGGACAACCATTTAAATAGGAGCCAGC